GTGGTACATATACACAATGGAATATTATGCAGCCATAAAGAAGGACAAAAATATGGACTTTGCAGCAACTTGGATGGATTTGGAGTCGATTATACTCAGTGATCTATTACCTAAACAAAGAACAGAGTACCATATGTTCTCACTCATAAGCAATTGAAAATTATAATATTATAAGAAAGTGTTTGGCAGTAATGGGAAACTGTCAGGGGGGGTGGGATTGACAGTTGAGGGAAACTGCTAGGGGAGGGAGGGGTATACCTCATCAACAAGGATACCTGCATAATCAATGTTCGTATACCTAACTCTGAATTGTACCCCACATCTTTATAATAAAATATATATATATAAAATTTAAAGAGAGCCTCCCATGACCTTAACCACCACTCCCTTCTGCCGTGCCATTATAGACAGTCTTCATTCCTGCTTGAGTACACAGAATTAGCGTGAAAGAGAGGTGGCGATATGAAATAGACAAGTTCAAGCAAGAACAGTTTACAGCTGTCAGTGTTGGGAGCCGGCTGTGGAGGCTTGCCTGAGCGTTAGGGATCCAGGCAGGCTGCAGACCCTGAGACTGCTAGGACGGGTTCAGGAGCTGAAGGCCCATTGCCTCTTCCCTTCTTTGCTGTTTTGGCACGTTCCACTAGCAGGGACTTTGATGATCTAAGCATGAAGTTCTGAGAGTATGACAGGCATGGCTTACTTTAGGAGTCCATTGTTCCTGTTTCTCACCCAGACTGCGGTTTCGGCTTTAAACTTAACATAATTCAAACTCAGGTCACATTTGGGAGCCTTTAATATGGTACAAGCTTCTTTAAAGATTTAATAGTATATTTGTAGAATTAGTATATACATACAAAGTGCTGTTTCAACCTTAATAATACAGATAAATATCTAGAGTTACTAGAAACGGCCCAGCACAAGCTTTGGGCTGGGCCACATTCCTAAAGGCCCAGCACAAGCTTTGGGCTGGGCCACATTCCTTAGGTATTGATTTGGGCTACAATTAAGAGTTTCTATAGTGTAGGTAGAATTAGCGTAAAATGGAGAGGAATTGGGATTTAGCTTGGTTATTAGGTGTTGTGCATGCATAGGTTTTAAAAGTTATTGATTATTAGAATATTATGATATTAGAATTGTTACTGCTTTTGAGAAATATTAACCAAGCATGAGGAACAGTGAAATAATTTTGGGATCCTCATTCCTCATGCTTGGGGAAACACCTGGTGGGTGGGGGACGCCCCTCATCCACCTGGTTCTATATTCATTTAAATGTCTTGTGATTTAATTGGGATTGCCCTCCCTCTTACTCCAGGAAACACCTGGTGGGTGAGGGATGCCCCCTCATTCACCTGGTTTTGTGTCCATGTAAAGATTTTGTGATTTAATTGAGATTGTTCTTCCTCACGCCCGAGGAAACACCTGGTGGGGCACCTGGCTTGTGTTCACGTGGAAGACTTGTAAGACTGCCTGTGTAAAATTCGGGATAAATACAAGCTGTAAACCCTCAATAAACGGCTTCTTGTCAATCCGTTGAACAGATGTCCACTTTCTTTCTTTCTCTTTATATCTATCCCTCCTTCTTTCTTTCTTTTAATATCTATTCTTATAGAAACACAGACGCCATCACACCTTCCAAGGGACCCCCTAAATCTCTTTTTGGGGACTGGCTCCCCAAATGTTAGGCCTCATTGAGGCCTGTTAGAACTTTCCAAGTGTTTATTAACTGAATGTCATAACTTTTTATCCAGAGAGAATAATGAGCTCTGCAAAGTGTCAAAAAAAAATTATCACCCAGTTTAGCTACACTAAATGTTCTAAACATTCACCTTCCAAAATACTTAGCTCTTGTAAATAATTTTTTTTAAAAAAAGGGAATTTTATGGAAAATAACTGGGTGGACTCTTAAGTAATACAGTCACCCAAATTTCATCATTCTGAGAGAAAAGAAAAAGAAATCCACTATGCATTTACTCAATTTAAAAAAGGGATCTATAATAAAATCTAAGTAGTATTAAGAAAAAAATGCAAATGTATAACTTACGGAAGATTATTTTAAATAATGACCTCAATTTGTCGTGTTCCAATCATTTTATACACATTGTACCATTTAACCAACACAATTTCATGAAGTGAAGAAGACTATTCACATTTTAGAGTTGAAGAAACATGCTGAGTGACTGTTTACCAAAGTCCTAATAAGTGACCAGGCCAGAATCTGAAACCTAGTTGGATTCCAAAACCCATACTTCTACCCTACCACACTACATTCTTTTTATTGG